ATAACACCACACCTTTTTCATTTGCAGATCTTTAATAAGTTTCTGAAAGTTTTCTTAACCTTTTCTTAGATGCCCTCAAACAGACGTGCAGGGAAGAAAAGGCTAGTAACACCATAAGCCAGTTACAGAGGAAGTAACAAAATCCATATCTACTAATATGGAGATTTATGTGGTCTGTGCATTTCTCATATCTATTATTAATTTTGCAAATCTCAAATTAATTTACAAATCAACTCCAAGCTTTTGTTGAGTTTACTGGACAAAATAATTCCTTTTCAGAGACCCAAGCTAAATTCAGGACAAGATTCACAGATTTAGACTAGGAATCACTTGTAACAAGCTTAGCATTACCAAGCACCCTAAAAAGGTAAGAATGTTGGTTACTAGAAGGCAATGGAAATGGTGCCTATAACCTAGATATAAGTTCTAGGATGGAGTTACACCTGTTCCTAGCAATTGTCTTTCCTCAGTAACCCACAATGAGCATTTATGCACTGAACAAGATGTTTTCTGCCTTGTTTTTAATCACTGTTCACCACTGCTAACAAAACAGATAAAGACAAAGTTTTGGTGATACRTAAGTATTTTCTGTTATTTAAACAGATAAGGTAACTGCAGAAAAACAGAGACTGCTCTTTGACCCTCTAGAGAAAACAGAGAATTCATGGACACCTTCAAAGGTATTAATACTGAAGATGRCATGGCCAAGTCCTATCCACATTTTGTGTTTCACTTACCCTAGTTTGTGAATCAAATCAAGATCTTCCAATGCAAAAGTGCTGCATTCAAAGTATTGCTTACACCTAGTGATAACCTGAAGTGAGAAAACAGATGCAAGAGAAATATTACCCAGCTGAGACATAGTTTTCAGTCGACATATGTGTTAACTAACTGCAATACCTAACTGCCCAGCAATGAAGATAGAAGTGCAGGCRGGGACCAGCACCCGAGGGTTTGTCTGTCACCTGGGATGCCGGACCCGAGCAAAGCAACGGCTTCACCCCCTCGTCTCGCAAATCCCCTCGTCGGGCACAGGAACAGAGCCTGGAGGCCGCCCTACCACCGGTGCCAGGTCTGGGGCGRCGGCAGGGCTTCCCGAGCAAGGCTGAAGGCGAGGAGCAGGAGTGAASGCGGGCTGGAGCSAGCRGGGACGGTGCCGCTTCAGCAGCTCYCGGCGCCCAGCCCTGAGCCCGTTGCCCTTGGCGAGGAGCCGCTTCGCCTCTCCCCGCTCACACCGGCCCCTCGCGTGCAGCCGCCGCCGCTTTCCCTCGCTCGGGTTTGAACTACCCGCCCTCACCAACCGCTGCCTCCCCGCCCCCTCCGCGCTCGGCCCCGCCGGGAGCCTGAGGAGGCTGGCAGTGCCCAGCCCGCTCCTCGGGGACACGAGAGAACACCGGTGAGGCTTGCCCCGCTCCTCACGCTTTATCCTTCAGCCCCGAGGCCCCCTCCGCACCCAGCCCACTGTTAAAGCGCCCCTGAGTCGTTCCTGCCCCTGCTTTGCTTCTCCTCAGGCGCCCAGCGAGGGTGAGGTTYTCCCGCCTGTGCCAGAGCCCGCTCCGCTCCCGACGGTGGAGGGCAACGTGGGGCGGGAGCGCAGGGGCGCGGGCGCTGAGGGGCGGCTCAGGAGTGCCTGAGGCATTCACAGATAATAACCCTTATCTGTACCAGAGCCTTTAAGCTCGGGTTATAAAGGTGATAGTTAATTTGAGTTAATTAGCACCTTTTTACCCCACAGGCCAGGACCAAACCAGTCACAGAGGGTTTGTYAWGYACATTGCTTTCAAAACAGCTGCGTKGAGGATTCCYGACTCAAGAACCGCRCAGGTCGTCGTCGAATMTCCCCAGATACTTTTWRCCASAGATTCCAGGAAGGACGGTTCTCCCTGGCKACAGTGTAGAGCATATTTTTCACTCCTTGTCCTGTTGTGAATGGCCTAAGGGCTACTTCTGTTTTAACTTGTTAAAAACCTTGTGGTTATTCAGAACCTATTCAGAACCTGGCGCCTGGGTTTTGCTGTGGTTTTAGGTTTTCTTTATACTACAAAACCCAAAACAAAACAAAGCCCCCAACAAAAAAAAAAAAAAAACAAAAAAAAAAAGGAAAAAAAGAAAAAAACGAGGAAAAATCCACCTCCACCAAAAAAAACTACAAAACCGTCAGAACTACGACTACGTGGATGTCTATTTCTCCTGGGCTGGGGAAGGATAACGTGAGGCTACATAGGCTCGGCTATCTGCTGGCTTCACAGCAGCGGGATGGGGAATGTCAGACCTGAACGAGAGACCTAAACCCGACTCTAAAAAGCAATACCTGCACTTAAATAAGCAAGCGCCAGGCTTTCCAAAGAAACTCAGAAATTAAGTAACGTAATCCTTGTACATGGGATCATGCAAGTTCTCCGCGTTCCCCTTTGGCGACTCCGCTCCTCCAGCCTCTCGCATCCCTCCTGGCGTGAGGCAGCCTGAGGGGGGCCCGAGGAAACACGGGCTTAAAAGTTCCCGACCYTCAGTCGGCGGAAATTGATATTTTTAGGGAAAGAATATTGGTTTATTTGACTACAAGAAAACAGTTATGGCTAAAAAGAGAAAGGCTCTTGGGGTATCTCCCCCTTCCTATGTAAAAGGAGGAAACACTAGAAACTTTCTGTAACGTAATAGAACTCTTCTGAAAGTGCTTTCTGTAGTACCGTCTGTTTCACAGGAACAGAATACAATTGTTTTTCAAATATTTGCATTTATTGATAAAATACYTTTTCAGTAAAATTGGCAGTTTACTAGTGGGACATAGCAGCTGCAAGCTCTATCTCCGTCACTGAAACCTGGATAGACTTATGCGAGTTGAATCTAAAATCTCCAAGAAATTGAAGGGGTTGTAAATGCGACACTTTATGCAACACACAGGAGTGTCACACTCGAAAGTGTGATTTAACAAAAAAGTCACTCTCCCAGAAAACCACTCTAGCAAAAAACAAGCAAACAAAAAATCCCCAACCAAAACCTGAGAACGCTGCTTCTAAAAAGTAAAAAGAGGTAAGACGTTCTGCGACACATTCACTATGCTCGGTTACAGCTGCTTCTCCTTCCCATGTCAAAAGTGCCGGTACTCCTGTGCCCTCCCCCTCTCGTCACACAAGCCTTTTTCTCACTTGCCCACCAATTCCCCAGAACTGTTTCACGGTACGAGACAGTGGGAGTCTCCTACATAGTCTCAACACTATCTGCTACTCTAAATCCAAAGGAGCATCTTTAGGGCTATAATTTATCAGCCCATGGGAATGGGGGTTACTAAAGCGCTCCTCTTGTAAGGGGCGGGATTTATTGGGAACGGCTGAAGTAACCGAGGCTTTAAGATCTGGTACAGCATCCTATTTTTCGAAGGGAATGATTAAAGGATGCCAATAATCAAACAATTACATGATTTCGTCCCTAATAAAGGAGATATTATTTTCACAGGATTAACTGTATTTTTCATAGAGGTATTTTCAGTAAGTCCTTTTAAATTTATCGGTTTGACAAACTAATTTTTAAAACACTAATGACCCTAGCAGTCATAATACCCTAGCAGAAATAATACCAGGATTTTTTATTTGCGTATTTAGCAGTCAGTAATTTCTTAGTATGCGTTTACCAGGAAAGATAGAGCATTTTTTTCTCCTGTGTTTCAACCTCCGGGGTACTCATCCACACCCGCAGCTCCGTGGCGGAGAGGATAGAAGCAAAAACCTATGACAACACCTCTGCCTTTTATAAACCGTTTTTCTTGCCCGTGCTTTATTCTGGCACTCCAAAAGTTATGTTTAGCTTTTTTCTTATGCAACAATGTGAAAAAGCAAGTCTAAAGTCATTACTGTGATTTCATTACGTTTAAATTAAACACAAAATAATGAAAAGTAAAACTATTTATTATTACCCGAGTTCATTTTAGGTAAGCTGCAAGTCATATATGAAGGTGATTTGYTGGTAGGAAAACATCAACGAACTAAAACTGATGAAACCTCATCCGTATTAATCTGGGTGCTTAGGAAAACAATTTCTATGAAGTATTCAGAAACAGAGATTGTTCCCTAAACTAGAGAACCTCTTGCTCAAATTGGCGTATTCACAAAATATAGTATTCATTAAACATATTTTTGGGGGGGTAATAAAGGAAACATACCTATCTATTTCTACAAAATACCATTCGAAGATTCAAAATTCCTACAGCCAGCGAGGTGGAGCCAGTGACAATGAGCAAGCAGTGCCGTTTCAAACCTTGCCTGCACTGTTTTAGTTCAGGACATCGGAAACCACCAACATATGRACTTCTTTCATAATAGGACCTTATACTTAAAATGTGTAACATGTATGTTTATTGTATGCAAGTTTGGCTTCATGTGGGTCCACATGATACCGACCACGTTATCAAAATATCAAGTTGTGGGGTTTATCCACAACTTGATATTAGGTTAAATTTTAGGTTAAATGCTTCTGAAAAGAGMGAGGACCTTGAGGTAAAACAGCTTGGAGGCTTAAAACTCCGCAGCCATATGATCAGACCTGACGCGGGGCATTCTGCATTCCGAGTATGTTTGGTACAGCCAAATAAGAGAATAAAAACACCGGGTACCTTGTGGCTGATTTTACTTAACCATGCAGCTGCCTACTATTTTCATTGTAAATCAACACTGCTATTCATATGGAAGCTTGTGTCTTAAAAGAGTCTGTATGGGTTTTTTTTTTTTTTGTTTGTTTGTTTGTTTGTTTGTTTGTTTGTTTGTTTTTTAAATCTCTGGTGGGCAACACCCATAACTGAATATTCATTACTTTCTCAACCTAGTTACTATTCATGCCCGAGGCTGGAGCTGATGGCGGGGCGGAGTTCTGCCCGCCACTGCCGGCGCTGGGAGCTCCGTCATCATTGAGCGCCGGGGAGGCGGCGAGGCCSGAGCTGCGTGAGCAGGCGAGCGGCACCGGGGCTCCTCCGAGCCTCCTCCRGTCCTTTGGGTATTCCCTTCGCTGCTGGGGGGAGGTCGTGGCCGCGGCGGGCAGGGAAAGGCTCGTGGGCTTCGCTCCTGCGTGCCAGTCTCGCGGGGCGGTGGGAGAGGTCGGAGCTGGGGCGGCGTGTGGAGCCTGGGGCCCGTGGGCTGCGAAAAGGACTGTCTGCCCYTCTCCTTCGTGGCCTCTGCGGGACGTGAAGGAGCGGGTTGGCCTCTCTTAGGGGTGCATARGAGATGCTTTGAGAGAGGACCTCGTTAATATGTAAAAATAACTGAAGCGGGGGGGTGCCAAGAAGATGAAACCAGGCTCCTCTTGGTGGTGCCAAGCACTAGGACAATAGGCAGCAGGCGGAAACCGATGCATAGGATATTTCTAAATATGAGGAATAATCTTCGTTACTGTGCGGATGACTGCACGCTGGAACAGATTGTTCAGAGAGATTGCAGGGTCCCCCTCACTGAATATATTCAAGAACCATCTGGGTGCARTCCTGCATCATGTGCYCTAGGATGATCCTGCTTAAGCAGGGAGGTTGGATCAGATAACCCACTCTGGTCCCTTCCAGCCTTACCCGTTCTGTGATTCGGTGTGGTGCTCTTGGCACATGGAGCCACTCACTACTCCACAGTGGATTTTGGCTGCACCCCTGCACATGTTGGTGCATCGCTGTRTCTGTTGGGCTCTGTCAGCTTGGTGGCACTTAGGGTTGCAGGTTATGTGAAGGCCAGCTAAACCATGGCACCTCCCTGCAAAATAACTGTAGTTCAYTGCTGCCCTTAGCACTGGTATAATTTTGCTGTACAAGCAGCACTAACTCATTTAGCTTCAACTGTGATCCAGCTTAGCTCAGCGCTGTGTTTTAGAAGAGTCTGCTGCTTTCCAGTGCTGATGGATGACTGCTTATATCTTACTGCCATGTGCTGACACAAAAAATCTGTAGCACATGTGAGTTAAGATGCCACTGTGGTTAYGGTGTAACATACTTAAAAGCTGTAGAGTTCAGTTCTTTCCATTGTCTTAAATGGAGTGACATAGTTTGGTTTGTCAGATGTTGGTCAGATTCTTGGAGTATGAACTGTTTCTGTCCTTCTGTTTTCAGTATCATAGTTTTCCCAGTTGAATCTATACTGAAACAAATTCTGAAGATCAGGGAAATAATCCTTGACATAATATTAACYAAAAGCATATGAGAGCCATTCTCGTAAAGAAGCATCAAGAAGGCTATTCACTGGCATAAGGGTTAGGAATTCTTGTCTTCTGTATTAGACAGAACAGCAATACAGAAAACAGCTACCTCGAAAAACCTAGAAGGAAATATTCATATTCTTGTCTTGACTTGCACTGGGTGGGGAAAAAAAAGGGTTTACTAAATGTACTATATGTAACTACCTTAAAATTCATGGTTGCAAGCACATTTCCATGTTAGGAYAGGATTACTTAAAGCTTGGTGGAGTGTGGAGTATATGTAACTTTTTAGTGTGGTGCCATGGACAAATACTTATTTTCACTAGGTCTGAGCAATTGAAACCATTGCATGGTATTAAGAGATGTTTGAACAGTAGTGTTGAATTATCACTCTTGATTTGGTAGGATTTGAAGGGTGGAATTGATTTTGTCTGTTTCCTTGTTGTTTGTTTTGGTTTGGTTTGGTTTGGTTTTTAATTCCTATTACTATTCTACCCACAGTCTGATCCCAGGATTTCTAATATCTCAGATTAATGGAAAGTATATTAGGTTAGCTAGTGTATCAGAGGGGGAGAAAAGATGATAAGGCTTATCTTMTTTGTTAGGACCATTGTTACATGARTAATATGTAACAAATTTTTGAATTTTGTATTTCTGGCAAGGAAATTCTTAATATTGGCAGGAAGGAGGAAAGAAAATGGGCTTTAATGGTTAAAATACTGTTTAATAAAGCTTTGTGTTTTCTTCATCTTTGGAGGTTTTCTGTACCTGAATAGTAAAGCTTTGTGAAACCTGATGTCACTTTGTTTTTAAGAAGTTGAGCTAGATGACTKTCTGAAGTCTCTTTCAACCTGAATTAATCCGTGTCCCATGTATCAAATATGGATGGAATTAATTTGTGTTTACTTCTAAGGAAGTGACTTCATCGTCTGTTAGCTTTAGATTGAGATATTGAAATGATTGTGCATGCCTTGAAAAAAACCCCCAAACCAAAGAATCCCAAAGCCAAGCTAATGTGCATGTTATGTGTTTTTTGTTTAGAACATGGATTCACAGAAGGATGTTCAGCCTCCAAAACAGCAGCCAATGATTTACATTTGTGGAGGTAAAGACATTAGTGATTTTTTTATYACTTGTTACTGGAGATTGGGTGTTTTAATAATGAATAATACTTAGTCATTAGACTAAGTTAGTTAGTGGTTAGTCACCACTCATCAGAAGGGTACATAGATACAAATAGCTGCAGTATCTGTGCTGATGATCTTTAAAGTTTTATGCATTGAGGGTAACACATATATGGGGTACATATGCAGTGTTGTGGAAGTAATTCCCTAGAGCTTGTGTTACTGTGTGGAGCTCCTCCATCTCTGTGTRTTTTATTGACAGTGCTGTAAGGGCACTCAGCTTTCACTGAAGTACAGTAGCCAAATTCTCACTTACCTATAGATAAATCAACAATTTAAAAATTGCTGATTTTCAGGAATCCCTGGAATACTTTGTTTTTCAGGAAAACAGGCTCTGGGCTTTGAAGGCCTGAGCTGAAATTTTCATTAGTAGACAGTCTARTATTAAGTGTGGAATGTGTTCTGTGCAGTAATATCTGTGTGATTTTTAGCAAGATTCTCTTTTATCTTAATGTAAGTGAAGCATGCTTTTTATTTTCTCTTTGCCTTTTTCTCACAATAATTTGTTGTCATTGAGTTGTTGATAGATGTACTCCACTTGCTATGTTYGTTGGCCATATATAGGAATTTGACTATAATGACTTTTCAAAGTTATCTGTGTATTAACAATGCTGTTTTTCTTTGCCTACTTCATTTGTCTTCCTCCATAACATCAGAATGTCATACAGAAAATGAAATAAAGGCGAGAGATCCTATCAGGTGCAGAGAATGTGGCTACAGAATAATGTACAAGAAAAGGACAAAAAGATGTATCCTTTTACAAGTGCACTTAAATGCATTTAGGAAGCTGTGGGTGGARGCAACGGAAAACAGAATGGAAGATTGAAGTAATTACGTAACAATCTTTCAGGGTCAAAAATCAATACAGTRGAGCAAACTGTTAGAGCACAATCTCTGCAGTGTGATTTGCCACCTTGGATTCTTTCCTGGCACTATCTCTTCTTTTTTCCATTTTATATGTGCGATACACTAAGTTATAATAGTCTGCTGGGTGATGTACTGTGAATTGTTGGTATTATTCAGCTTCTTATTAAGGATGGCTTTTGAAATACTTTATGTAGATAGTTGTGACTTTAGATTTAGACAGTCTCTCTCTTTACTCCTCTCCTCCAACTTTTTTTAACCACAACATATTTTTTTTCTTTAACTGCATTATTCCAGTGGTAGTTTTTGATGCCCGATGATGTCTGCTGAAGATGGTGACTTCATGATGTAATCTTTTTGAAAACTTTGCTCTGTAAAACTGTGTACAAATGCATGCTCTTATTTGTGTTTTAAGAGATTGAAATATTAAASTTTACTGTAATACTCAATTTTGTCTATATTGTCTTCCAGCAAGAGATTTCTAAAGTTGTTGTTTTAAATTGTGGTTAGAGTATGCAGTTTTTTTAAGTTCAGTGATACTGTTTTCTTTTTAAATTACCCTTGTTTTTATTACACCTGTCTAAATTTTATTTTCTTTAACTTTGCTAAATGTTCTTTGGGCTCCTGTGAACTGCAGCAAATAACTGTGGTTTCAATAAATTCCACTGAAAAGAAATAGAAAGCTACAGAAGGCTAGGTTTGAAACAGATCTGGATTTCAGAAGAAAATCTTAAAGGACTTCAGACAAAGGTCCTAATTCTGGCGTCCAGTTGTGGATGTGTCAAAAGTATGGATGTCTGAAACTGTCAGAAAAAAAAAAGTTTCTCCTGAAAGAAGAGGGAGAGGTAGGCAAGGTAAATATTAAGAAGCAATGCGAAACAGAAATTCCCAGAGTACTGCTTGACCTGTTTGTATTCAAGCAAAGAATTAGATCTGTGTTACAAAATGTGGGTAGCATCTCAAAACTAAAATGGCATCTTGTTTTGCTTTTCAGATGATTTCTCAGGGGTCTCTAACAAGTGGTGGTTTTCTGATGATGACCCAAAACTTTTTCCATCTGTTTGGAATGTGTTACCTATTACCAGTACACTAGAAGTGTATTACACCATACTGCTGAACTGTGTGCCTGATCTCAGTATTGATGGTGCTAATGGTGCTGTTGAGATAACGTGCCTAAGTCATTACTGTAGTAATATCTTTTCTAAGGTCTGCATGCCTGTGTGCTGGTAATTAAATTAATTGCAATGGCTTTTTRTAGGGGATAAAAAAGCACTCTGAGATGCTGTTTTGGAGCTGTTTGGTTAGGATTTTGTTAGGAATCTGGTCATTGCTATTAAGACTAGATTTTTTCCTGTAYACCAGATATACTTGGGTATAAAAGATAACGTTTTTTCTACACGGTTGCTATCAGTTCACCAGCCTGGACTGCACGGCGTGTACCTTTTGATTGCATAGCGGAAAGGAGGGGTGGGCTGCTGACACGGCTGCTCGCAAGGGTCAGGAGGAGCGAGCAGGAGCAGCACTGCCGAAAGTCGCCGGCAAACGGAGGCGGGTTTGGCCCCTCTGCGGGCACGCCGGGTGCCTGTGGCTGCCAGGCGAAAGCGGCGAGGAGCCCCCGCTGCCTTCGGGAAGGGCCACGGACTGGCTGCCAGGCAAAGGCGGCGAGGAGCCCCCGCTGCCCTCGGGAAGGGCCACGGACTGGCTGCCAGGGAAAGGCGGCGAGGAGTCCCCGCTGCCCTTGGGAAGGGCCACAGATCTGCTCCGCGGAGCAGCGCCGGGAGAGTGCAGAGCTGCCGGGCAGCACTGGTGTGGGCGCCTGGGGACAGCGGCGTTGGGAGACRGATCTGTTGCTCTCCGCTGAGTGCAATATTACACTGAAACTACGAGGGTGATTGCTTAGTAGACCCACACCCAGGAGTGCAGTCTTTCTGCCCGCCCTCARGAGGCGCTCCCCTCAGCCCTGATCCGCGCCCTGACCCCAGCCGCGCCTGCGCGGCCTCAGCGAGGGGCAGCAGGCCCCCCTTGGCGGTGGGGTTCGGGCTGCGTCCGTGTCCCGGGGACAGCGCAGCACCGGGCAGGTGGGTGCCGAAGAGCCACGGGCGACGCCGGTGTCACTGCTGGAGCCAGGCGGGGCTCTGCAGGAGCTTCACCGGGGCGTCCCTGGGAGGGCGGGACCGCGTCTTTGCCGCCATGTTGTACATAGCAACAGTTGCCAGGCGCGGGCCGCGCTGCCCGGCGCGGCGGTGCCTGAGGGAGCCTCGGGTGCCGGCTTGGAGGAGGTAAATCCCTCACTCCGGGCCAGGGGATGGGTGSGCAAATGCATTGGAGGGGGGTGCGCCGGACTCGGTGTGTCCCCCGAGCAGTCCTGGGCTCCTCAGTGCCCGAGAGTTACCCTGGGCTGCTCCCTCGCGTCCATGGGAATAAACGGGAAAAAACGCCGGTGGTGATGAGCTTTTTATTTTACTTTATTTAATGCATTTATCCTTATTTCTATGAATGTTGTTCCTTTTCCAGTACTCAAACTGTAAAGTCTTGGGGCAGAATCTCTATGCAACGTCTAATTATGAACAGTTACTATTTAAGTGATACCGTATTGTAAACATTTTTGTGTAACTACAAATTAATATATGTAATATACAAGACGTTAGAACACAATTATTTTAATTTGGTTTATAACCGCACATAGTTGTTATCACATACTAGCGAGTTGCCCTTATTGTAGTTCTTAAAAATAACTGACTGCTTCATGTACTATATAAAAAGGGGAAAAGAGAAGAATTTCAGCTCCACAGAGCTTGTGATCAAAATAGAAAAAGATGCAGACGAGCCGATCAAAGGTACAGGGAGACAGAAATGYCCCTTTTTAATCCCTCACTTCATCAGTTTCAGAGTTACTGGAAAAGATTCAGRTTAGTGCTGTAATATAATCAGAGACCCAGAAAATGCAGTTAGTGAGGAAAGAAATTGAATTTATTTTGGCTACAGAGAAGCCAAAGGTTTTAATTCCCTTAGATACACTGCACTGGTTAAGGTCTTCCGTCTGAAACAAGGAGTGTCCTCCACTATCTTGTCCTTTGTATTATCACAATTGCTTAAAACAGGTATGTGTTAAAAAAACAGAGAATGTGGTAGGCAAAAATTGGCAATTTTTCTTTATGTGGTCTTTCTGGATTGTTCTGCATTGCAGAAGCAGTAGTGTTGCACATATTCTTACAAAGCATCATACTTCTGTATGTCAGTMAACCTCTGTCAAGAACAGTTAATGTGATCAGGCCTGCAAATCTGATATTTTTTCTTTTATAGGTCTGCTTTTGTGAGAGAGTGGRGCATGACCAGGTTTATTCCTTAAATTGGCATTGCTTCAAAATGTAACCAAATGTTTACAGAATCACTATTTTTTTTTCTTCTAATATTTAGTTATGGGTGATGAGTCAGTACCATATTTGCTGGGTGAAGGAACCACTAAAACATATCAAATACCTATTAGTCATCTGGACTACAAATTCATTGAAAAATGCACAGATGTTAAGCACCTGGAAAAGATTCTCAGGGTATTAAGGTAAATGTATTTTTTAAACTTAATAATTATATTCCTGTTCTGTAAAATTCGAGGGAACCCTTTTCTACATACTCTTATTTGTTTGAACCTGTTTGTGACTTTCTAATTTAAAAATTAAAAGTACAAAGTAAAAGTAATCATGCTAAAAGTGCCCAATGATGACACTAGAAATGCAAGTCCTGATTTAACCATGCAAAAGGTCTGAGTAACTCAATGTCAGGTTTTTCTCAAATGCTGCCACTCTCTTTTGGTTCTCTCATGATCCATGTTGCCCGACTGGTAATTTCAGATGCCACACCTGCTTAATTTTTGCTGTAAATTTCACAAACTTCTTTTTATGGGCACTGTGGTGCTGTTTTTGAACTGTGTATGTGGGCATTGGAATATGGTTGAAGTTTAACTGGAATTTTCTAATAAAAATGTTATTAATGATAGTAAAATTGGGTTGTATCAGAAGATCCTCTGGAGTCACTGMAGTGACTACACATGGAGAGAAACATGGAGGATGTGGTGCAGTTTTGTTAATTTTTGTTAACGTTTATATCTTTGCATTTGAAAGATCTGGTGAAGAGGGATGTTAYCCTGAACTCACGTTGGTTTGTGAAAAGCGTATTGAGCGTTTAGATCCAAGGAGCAGAGCTCTGAGAAGAGATAAGCCTGCAGCCACAGCTTCTGATTTCACAGCTGAAGAATGGGAAACRATTAATAGTGAACTGATGGTACAGTATCAAATTTGTAATGGTCCATAATATAATCACTGTGATGTATCAATGTGCTTCTTGTGCCTAATTAGAATGTAATTATTTGATTAAAAGAGGAAATGATCAAAGGGTTATTTGKTTTTTTTAAATTATTTTCTTGTGTTAATGTCACTGAACCTTTAGTACCCATTTTAACTCTACAGGAAGTAYTATTGCTTTTTGTCTTAACTGCTTTTCCCCATTAGGAACTGTGTGTTGTAAGGATAATTGCCSCATTGACTTAAGGTACAAATATGTTTTTGTTTTTTTTCAGAGTTGGATGAGAGAAATGAATGAAGATGACGAGAAATCACAGTTCCTGAGAACAGAYACACCGAATGAAAGAAAAGATAACTTGCCTCCTATTCGTTGTTCCAGCAGCTGCCTTCCTGCTAATCAGGTGTCTCCAGTTTTTTGTGTTAATTGTAGRTGTTATTTATAGGTTTTTCTAAAACTGTGATATTTTATATGTTCCAACTTCTAATCATTGTGCCTTTCTAACTAGATTTATTTTGTTAACCAGAAAATAAAAACCTTTAAGCTCCCTTGCAAGAGACCAAWGCTTAAAAAAATGCTTCCTTAGTACTAGCATGTGTATTATTTTAATATTTTAGTTCTGATTGAGAATTTACTGCCAAAGCAGAGCTCCTTAAACACCCTTTTATGTTCTTCAATTCATATTTCAAAGTACTGTTTAGGCATGTGAACTAGGCTCCTTCTGGATGAAATKATGCCAGGAGATTTTCTCCAGCTGCCTGTAGGCTTTGTTCCATGGGGCCAGTCAGGAGCTAGTCCAAAATAAACACCCTGGAACACATGCAGTTGAGATGTTAGACCCTCTTCAGCAAGTGTTTTACTTTATAGCTACTTGTGTATTGGGTAATACGTAGCCTTTGATTCCCCTTATTTTACACCTTKAGTTGGTGTTCCTATTGCAGACATTCAGCATACTTCCTAATTTAGCCCTTAAGCAGACTYAACAAATCTTCCTAACTACAGAACAAATATTTACATTTTTTCCTAGGTATTAGTTTCCTAATGTTTTCAGGGTGTTTTTTTATTTGTTTATCTGCCTGAAATCAGTTTTTTTTTTTTTTCTGAGGAGCTTTTCTTGCGTATACTACATACAGTGCTGCTGAAGGGATTGGCA